GAAATTTGTTTTTTGAGAAGCATCAGCCTAGAAGCAAGGGATAACTGATATGCGTGTTAACAAGTTTGTTGTGAACAGCGGCGCATTTTGAAGAGGTTTTCTTATATTTCGGACAGCTCAGCAAGACTATTTAATATCCAAAAATATAAAAATGTAATGATTAACTCACATATATTTGTTTACCATCGCTGCTGACCGCTGCTGTTGTTATCGGGTACTCATAAAACCTGATATTAAAACTCAAAACTGATTAAATGTTGTTCTTGCCGATAGCATAACACATCGCTACGTACAGCATAGCCTCTTTGCACCAGGCTTGTCAGACATAATCAGTCTTTATTTCTCAGTGTCATGCAGGTTTTCTGAATGAGGTAATTTGCTTCCAAAATCAAAAAGTGTTTGAAGAAAATAATATCTCAATTTATTTGGAGGGCACTATTTGAGAACTGCATATGAAATATACAGATGTTACCAAAATTTTTAAATGAAGAATTAGCGACAAAGATGGAAAATTATCAAGTCATCGCAAACATGTATTGGAATCTTCTTGATTTTTCGAAGTAATCACGATTGTAGGGATATGTACAAAATCTAGGACATTGAAGGAGGATACCCTAGTCGTCAAAATAACGATAAATAATAAAATTAAATGATTCGCATGATAAAAAATTCCTTTTCATTGTTTGGGTTCACGCTCGCAAGGGGCCAAGTTCTCCACGATTGAAAAGTGAAGAATTGCTCAAGCCGGAAAACATCCTTGCCTCTTCATTCATAATATCCTGCAGCAATTAACGAATGTTCAATGCGCTAGAACTTCAAGTCAGTAAATGGTGATCATCCCAGCGCCAGCAATTAAGCCACTCATGTTCATTGCGTCGTCAGGAATTCATAGAAATTCATATTACGTGCAGTAAACATGGTTTAAGGGCTTCTATTTGTGGACAATCTCTTTACTGATCTTCAGTCCACCCGTTTCAGATGGCCGTGTGCGAATGTGCCCTCCAGGTGGTAGCAGCTTTACGATGGCTTGGTCAATGGCATGCACAATGCGACGAAAGCGGGACGTTATGCAGGAAAAGCGAATTTGTAAGTTATTACACCCAAAAAAACCTTTACATTTTAATTTTGACGGGGGAAGTAGATCAGAAAACGCTGGTAGAGCCATGGGTCTGTTCCTTCTAATGAAGAACTTTCGGTGTTTTATGTCTTAATGTACATATGTTTCAACAGAAACAATGAAACTCCTCTGTTTTTGCTGATATCCAATAACATAATATCCGGTATTTAAACCGCACCCTGAAAAAGGCTAGGACTAATATTCGTCGCGAGCATCGCATCCACGTGCTGAGCCTAGATGAACGTTGTATAGTCAGATGAGAATAAAGAGCTCGCTGATGGAGTATGTCGCGCTGGGCGTTGATCCTACGCTCGTAGCTCTCAGGGTGCCTGATTTTGCGGAATCTAGGATTACTGCAACATTTTCGGCTTGGGTTTGATTAGTAGCGCAGTATTTCTTCCTGAAATGCACAAAATTCCGCGACTTATAACACCCTTTCCGCAACTTTTCCAATTTGGACTAATTGAAGCGTGTAATCTGAAAGCCTTTTTTTGAACAATAAGACTTCTTTTCCCAAATCTTATAAATGTGGATTTTGAAGGTGAGAAATGGAAATACATAAAT